CACTCCTATGACAGTCCTACTCAGTGCATTCTCGTGGCGGTGTTGCTTACGAAATTGAGAGGACGAAAGCCAACTATCTAGCGCTTTAACAGGGCTGGTGGATATGGAGGATTGACTTAGAAGATTTGGAAAGCCCTGATTCCAAACCAATAATGCACATGTGCTCCAGTATCCTGAAGAAACAAATGGCATATGAATCAATCAATGGTCACCGGTTACCATGGGACTGCATCTTCTAGCATTGCTCCACTGCCTTGTCGATCAGACCTTTAGATCAAATGCTCCAGATGTAGCCCTCCTACAGAAACCACCTGTTTCTATCTGGACACTCAGGCTGTATCGTTGACCACACATAAATCAAGTGACTTGTGTGTCGTATATATATTCAAATAAGTAAATAAATAAATGAATCAAAATATCTAGCCGTTCTTATTTCTCACCAAAAAATGAGATATGAAATAATAACGCCTGAAACTAACAATGTAGATTAAGAATAAATATTTTATGTAAATTAGTAACTGATATTTAAGAGAAAAAGAGATTAGGTAATGAGCAGGATAAATTGAAAAAAGAAGTATATTTTCATAGAAGGAAAAATTATGATAATAAATGTATATATATCGATTTCCTTCGTTATATCTCAATGAGTAGAGCCGATTGTATTATTGATATTTCGTGATTTGATGTGAGCCATTTATTTCAGAATAAATTTACTTGTTTATTTACTCTGAAGAAGTAGCATAGATTAAGTCACGAAACGTCAGAGATACAATTGTTCTACTGATTATATGATAAAAATATATATGTAGTTACTGATAACTTTCTATTGAATGTTCCATTTTATTTGGAAAACTATCGAATTCAATCTTGGCATTGATATCTACGGATTATATTCTTTAAGATTTAATATTATTTTGATTGTTTTAATGAAGAGATGAAATACCATACAAAATTTGTGATGAATAGTGATTAACGGTGGAATATAGGACACACATTTTGTTCTGTTTAAAACTCGTCATTTGGATGTATCTGCATCTTAGAGTTGATATTCATTCTAGGACTCGAACCTAGTACCGTTCGCTTATAAACGATATTGCATTATCCACTTAGATAGTTGCTTATGCAATACGGTGAAATTTAAATTCACTTGGCATTGTCTACTTGAATCTTCCCATTGATATTTAGGTGTGCAATTGGGAAGTTCAAGTAAACAATACCAAATACATTCTTTTAACTATAGTTTAATGAACTATTTGGTTACAATTTCATAACAGTGTTAGATAATGTTTTAGCGCTTTATTTAACTAAAATGTTGTATAAATTTGTACTTTGTTTGTAAGTGCATGTTATATATTTTTCTTAAGTTTTTTAAGGTTACTCATCTTTTTTAAATACTCAATACAAATAGGATAGTTTTTTTGTTTTTCCATCATCTTTTCCAATAATTTACTTGGATGAGTGTCCCATAAAAGTCAATGATTTTCACTAGGTATCCTATTTTCTACTATATCAAGTTATCCACATACATCTTTTATGAACACTTCACACTAGCTCATTTTAACTTATTGGATCGAAAAGAAAATAATAGGAAAGTTAGAGATTGAATTTAAAGTCACAATAAGTACTCTGTTCATACATGAACTATTTATTCATATAAGATGAAAGGAAAGTTCCCAACACCAAGGTCAGAATTTTCAATACAAATGTCAAGACAGTTTTACTGTATGAGGCGGAAACTTGAAGAACTACGAAAGCCATCATCCAGAAGATACAATTGTTTATTAACAGTTGCCTACGCAAAATTCCTCGGATCCATTGACCAGGCACCATCAGCAACAACCTACTGTGGGAGAGAACAAAGCAAATCCCATCGGAGGAAGAAATCAGGAAGAAGTGCTGGAAGTGGATAAGATACACATTGAAGAAAGCAACCAGTTGCACCACAAGGCGAACCCTCACTTGGAATCCTCAATGCCAAAGGAGGAGAGGAAGATCGAAGAACACATTACGCCGAGAAATGGAAACAGACATGAGAAGAATGAATAACAGTTAGATGACACTAGAAAGGGAGGTCCAGGACAGAGTGGGTTGGAGAATGCTGGTCGGCGGTCTATGCTTCACTGGGAGTAAAAGGCATGTTTAAGTAAGTAACATAAGGTTTCAAACTAATTGGACAGTTCTTACAGAATATAATTTGTCAGTAACCTTAAAAAATGGTAGAATTGTTTTTCCCCAGTATTGAAATTTAATTCTAGGTGATGAATAAATGAACTATGAGAATCAAAAACTGAAATGTATAAGTGATTTTATCACATTCATGAACTTTTTGAAAGGTTCTTGTTCGGTTACCTTATCCTACAGTATATTACTTTTAATAATAAAGACTCGTTACAATTATTTTTTCAAGGTATGAATACTCTTTTCGTACTTTATTGTTACTCTAGTTTTCTCAATATCTGTGTGAAAGTTCCCTGAAATGAATTAATTTCGAACGGTTTCAAGGAATTAGTACAATAGAAGAGTACCTATTATTTAATTCCATTCAGTAGTTATGTGAATTAATTAGAAGGTTGGTTACTATAAATCGAAAATGAATGAATGAATTATAATTTAATTTTAAAATACAGTTTATATTTGAAGAAGTTAGACATTAACACCGTTGGATACCGTTCGGCTCAGTGGCCTAGAGGTAAAGCGTTCTCTAGCGAGACCAAAGGTCCTGAGTTTGAGTCTGGAGTTCGAGATCGTGAATGCGCACTGCTGAGGAGTCTCATACTAGGATGAGTTGGCGGTCCAATGCTTACAAGTTTCCCATGGTGGTCTAGCTTACATTAGCTCATGAATTCAACAATTAGAATAAAAATTCGTTTATAGTAATTAACTTGCACACTAAGTCATATTTAATTTCTGTTTGCATAGTAGACAACTTCATGATAATTCAAAGTACATTTAGCATTATATGATGATGTATAATAAAAAATACAAGTCAACTACTAATGGAGTTACATTCCCAAATTTGATTATTTTGTCTTTATGGAATAGATCTACTGAATAGTTTCATAGGTACTATGAAACATAATGATTTAGAAGGTCTTTAGAGCAACAATACAAATTTCTATTTTTAATTAAAAATGAAATAAAAGATTATTGGGTATTCACTTGATGTTGTTTAGAACTGCAATTGATCAGTCTCTTGTTGGCATATATACATTCTGTGAGGATTGCCTCTATATTGCCTTAAGTCACAAGCATTATAATCAAAGATGGATAGTGGCTAGCAGTGGAATCCAGGACGCCCGTTTCATCCAATTTAGGATTCGTCAACTATCTTATATTAAAAAAAATTCAACAATGAAATAAGGAGTTGATCAGAATTATTTCTTGTTTCTAATTCACATTTCACTTGGATGACCTTGGATAGGGAACACGTTTAAACTAGTCCGAAATTTATACCTAGATATATATCCATATATTGACAGAATGGTAAAATGAAACGTTATAAGTATGAAGGGCGTATTCCTACAACAAAGTTTATTCAAAGCAAAAACAAAGTAATCATAATGATGATAAGTGTTGTATCTATTCAAAGGAAATTCATTCTATTTCACTCATTCTTAGACATTTTTAATAAATATCATTAAAATCAAGAACAATCTTCAATACAAAGAGTTAAATCAGTAACTTTCTTTATTGAGTTAAACAGAATGTAACGACGTTATACAATCAGGAATGAGCTTAAAACAACTGGGGCAAATTCTCAGCCTGATCTTAGCTAAACAGAAAAATATGTAGCTGGATGCTTTATTTATTTGAATACATAAATATTGGTACAAATGGGCACCAAGTACACATGTTGTCATACAATAACATTGAGAATGTGAAGAGATAGATGATGTAAAGTGAGTATAAGAAAAAGGAAAACAGTAACGAACAGAAATTAGTGTATGATAGTGAGATAATTCTAATGGAAGAGGCAATTCATTTAGCAAGGGTACAATCAGAAGGAATTCTTCCCGTTAAAAAAGTTACATCCAAGTTTTTATGAAGTAAAAGAAAGTTGCAGCAGGATCGTCACTGGCTTCTATTATGAACCTTATCTGATAACATCTTAAGGCACTGTGTTGCACGATCTCTAGGACCACAACCAGAGAGCCGTGAACGACCAACAGAAGCCATTCCTGTACAGCTTTCTTTGATACCACGACACCATGTCATACACTGAACACATGAATAATTTATAAGAAAATGAACAGTAATATTACAAACTATAGACAGATTTAGCATATTTCATATATTCGTTAAAGTTTTCTGTAGGTTACTCTATCTGTAAATTGACATAGACTAGTTGTCTTCTTTTTCAGTTCCAACATTGTTCCTAGTTTTCGTTAGGTATTTAGGGTAGGCATAAGGAGTTTAAGATTAGGGCTTTTCATCACAATCTGACACCTAATATAATACAATAATAATCTGTAATCATATAAACGAACGAATTTCACTAGGAAATGCAAAATGCGTTGTCTGATTTTTCTTTCCATAAGATGTAATCCCTCTGGATTAAGGTCTACTTCACGACTGAATATTTAGGGCAGTATTGATTTATTTGTACAATTTAAAGAGACAGTTAAGTATCTGTTACATTTAACACTTATTTTACACTCTGGTTTCGAAAAAATAATTTTTTGTAATCATTTTTCATTATTTTGAGTATCCTATTGAAATATTTGTATTACTCATTATTCCTGATATTTCAGTTTCGCCCAAAAAACCTAAAATTCACATTTTTGATCCATAAACCAAACTTTTATCCAAAATGTTATTAGTCAAGAGATATTATTTTCATCATATATCTGGTCATCTACGTGAACCAATCAAATTTCATCTGCTCACTTCTTATTGGCTAGTTTAAAATTTCATTTCCCAAATCTTGTTATTTTTTTGTTAGTTTTTTCGATACAATATGTTAACCTAATTTTTTTTTTTCATGTGAAATCAAAGAAACATAATTTTCACATAATTGATCAAGATTATCATCATAATAATAATATCTGTTATACCATATACATAACTGATAATATACTAATGGCTTATCGACGTTTAAGTATGAGTCCTGGTGAAGCATTACAAACTGAAATACCTGAAGCAAGACGTATGGAAAATTATCGATCTGGAAATTGTTTATTGAATTATTTTGATCCAAATACAAAAAAGTTTCGTAATTTCACAGCTTCACAATTTGGTGATGTTTGGAATCATTTCGATCAAGATGGTAAGTTTTTTTATTATTTTAATAAGGTGATTTGCTTTGAATTAGTTATGAAAGTAATAAGATGAATAAATTTGGACAATTATTTAATAGTTTTGCCAGCTATTGGTGTAGGGTCACTAAAGATCTCAATACATAAAATAAGCACTGGAGATATGGTCCGAGCTGACAATAAATGCTCTTCAAATCAGTCATTTAATTCTGAGTTTAAGTGGCGACTGACTATTACTGACAAAGTTCCTTGATATAGTTACTTATTAAAAGTATCTGTTATTTAAATTCACTTAGTATTGTTTAAATAAAGTTTCTCATTGATGTTTACGACTGCAATTGATCAGTCTCTTATTGACTTATGTGTATCCTGTACGGATTACCTTGATATTGCCTCAAGTCCTACAGGACGTCAGTCACGGCCCGAATATCTGAGTGGTAACGTCTGTAACTATGAAGTTGGGTGGCACGAGTGAGCATCAGTTCCCTTAAGATTACAGGCACGTCTTGATGGAGAGTGCTAAGTACCTCGAAACCTAGGTCTAGGGTTTCATGTTGACTACCTCCAACAACCATCTTATCGCATTATAAGCATCCACCTTTGTTTATATCTGTGATTTAGGTTTGTATTGAGTTGATGTAGAGTTTAGCCATGGTAATGAAACATTTTTGAAGCTGTAGAAAATAATTAAATTTGAAGATCGTATGCACTGAACTGTGTACATTATGATTTGATGTAACGATCAGTTGTTGCATAAACTGATGAACTGGCTTATATAAACACATATTAAGTAAAAAGATGAAAAATACCAAATGTAATCTAGCCGATTCAGTATTATTAACTAAAACGTCAAGTTCACACAACGAATCTCTTTATATGTGTGTACTGTTCTCATTAGTATTAAATAGAAAATTTTTTAAATAAATTTTGATAGTTCCATTGTTCATTCCTTCTTTTACACGAAACTTGATAATTTTCAAATGCATAGGATTTTAATGATCACAATGACAATAATGACACCAATCAACCGTAAATGTAACCACTTGAGAAAATTTACATTGATGTAACCTGCTTCGGTTCGGGCACCCAGGCAGTATCCCAGCCCTCACATAAACTGAATGAATTATGTGGCGTATATGTATTTGGCGCCTCCTTGTACCAATGTTTATGTGTTTAAATAAAAATAATAAATACACCGATGTCAGGCCTGTTGTTGATATTAACTAACTGATTAACTGAAGTGAACACAGGATGGTAATTTTAGTTTAAGCCAGAGTTTTCCTAATATGTTAAATAAACTAGAGTGAATCAAGCTCTACAACTTAGTGATTGCTAATTTTAGCAATGACAATTAATTTCATGCTATGAACACTTAGACAATAGTAGAAATGCTACCCAGTAACCAACATAAAACCTAGGACTAGTATACATACTAAAAATGCCGGAAAAAATTCACCACTCATCAATGATTGAAATATGATTCATGATGTGTTCAGAAAAGAGGAATAGACCATAAGCTAATGAAAGTTTATAAATAAATCCATCCATTTAGAGCAAAGAACATCCAAAAGTTGAAAATGACTTAAATATTTTTCGGTATGAGATTGTAAAGTTTGTTGAATTTTATTAAAATCATGATCCGATCAATGTTAAGTCATTATTGAAAACCTTGAATGACTGGATGGCTGTCTCGTCCTAGTATGAGACCCCTTAGATATCGCTACATATCGTGGATTGGTTGAAGTTAGACATCGACACTATTAAACGACAGCTCAATGCCTGAAGTGTCCCATACTGAGGCGAAACAATCGTCCAACGATAATCTAACATTGATAAATTCAGGATTTCAATGAAACTTGAAAATTTATCATTTATATGTGTTTCATAATAGTGATATAATGTTTAATTTATTTCATCATTGTTGTTTATGAAATTGGATAGTTTGATTTTTTTCACATGTTGAATACCTTTTTATTGTCAAAGTTGAAAAGAAATCGACTAAATAATTACCAAGAAGAAATGAGAATATTGATTATATTTCATCTCGAGAATTTGGACAGTGAATTACAGATTTGCATTCAGTTAGTGTCATTTTGTAAAACAATAACCTTAATTATTGTAGAATAAAATGTACCCTAAAAAAACTAAATACAAGCAGAATTTCAATAGTTGAGATCATGAGTCGACTGAAGCTAGACCATCATGAAAAACCTGGAAGCACTGGACGGCCGTTTTGTCCTTGTATGGAACTCTTCAGCAGTGTGCATCCAGTTACTCACTAAAGAAAATAGTGAACGTCAGCTCAATATCATGAATTGGTTATAGTTAGACATTAACACCGTTGGATGCCTGCTGACTTAGCAGTCTACAGGTAAAGCGTTCGCGCGTGAGACCGAAGATCCTGAATCAGAATCCCGCGTTTGGGATCGTGGATACACACTGCTGAGGAGTCTCATACTAGGACGAGTTGACTATCCAATGTTTCCAGGTTTTCCATGGTAATCTAGCTTATATCAACTCATGAATTCAATGAATAAATTATACATATTTTATATGACATTAACTTTGAATTTGCCAGAAAAGTGATGTTTAGATTTGAAGAGTTAACTGCACAGTCAACTTTCATCATTATATATATATATATATATATATATATATATATATATATAATATATATATATATAATATATATTATATATATATATATATATATATATATATATATATATATATCATGTTATGAATGTCATCCATTGAAAACATGAGTAGTTGAGTTGTTGTAAATACAAGACAATGTTATGAAATGAATCTTGTAATTTATTGAACTAATTATACTACACACAATGCTGTTGTCATTTATAGTTTATCTTCTCATTTATTTACCTTTTAAAATGTTCGTTTTCTCTTCCAAAAAATTATTGATTATCCAGGCGTTTTTTTCTAAATGATCATTCGAAAACGATGTCAAATGCTTATTGTTCACCTATTGTGTACAAGAATAGACAAGTAATTAAAAACAACAAAAACAAACAAATAGTATATAAGAAAAAGAAAGCGCTTTCACATTGAAGAAACATCTATAAGTCATTCATTTTCATGGGAGTATCACCTATATTCTACAGGTCACAAGATACATTTAAGAACTTTATGTTCGGTCAAATTATATATATATATATTCGTTTTTATTCTTAAGTATAAAGAATTAGTTAATACTTATGTGAATGGAACTCTGGTAGTTGTGAGCGACATTTTCCCAGTTAGATGTTATAGTCTAAATTCTAGATCAGGAGGGGTTTTGTAGAGAACTTTAGTATTTTCAATGGTTGAAATCATGAGTCAACTGAAGCTAGATCACCATGGGAAACCTGGAAGCACTGGACAGCCGTTTCTTCCTAGTATGGGACTCCTCAGCAGTGTGCATCCACAGTCTCGCCTCGCGAGATTCGAACCCAGGATACATCAGTCGCGGGCGAGTGTTTAATCACTAGACCACTGACGCGGCCGGCATCCAACGGTGTTAATGTCTAACTTTAACCAATCCACGAAATCGCGCCACCGTCACTGTTGTCTTCAGTGAGCTGATATCTCACAACAGACCTGGTTGAACTCCACTGGTCACGGCTTCTCACTAGAACTTCAGGAGTGTCTCTTGATGTCAGTCACTAGTGAGCGGTTAGACATTAACACCGTAGGATGCCGACTCAGTGGTCTAATGGTTAAGCGCTCGCACGAGACTAATATGTCCTGGGATCAAATCTCGCGAGGCGAGACCGTGGATGCGCACTGCTGAGGTGCCCCACACTAAGACGAAACGGCCGTCCAGCGCTCCCAGGTTTTTCATGGTGATCTATCTTCGATTGACTCATGATTTCAACTATTTAAATTCTCGATGCATAAGATAACCATTTTGTTTAGCAACGAGATTTCTGTTTAATTCAGATTAAATATGGCGCAAATAATAAATGTTTAAAATAATATACGACTAATTTCGAGATGTAATTCTCGAATTTCTAATGAGTTGCTGTGACCAATCGAGGTCAACTATATTAAAGATAAGACACATTTGTTAGTGATATTGAAAAAGCAATATAACGAATTGAATGAAATTATAAATGTCATCTGTTAAATATCGGCTCAGTTGTCGGTTCGTCACGAGACCTACTGGTCCTATGTTTGATCGTGGTGGGATCGTAGATATACACTCAGAGAGAATCCCACACTATTTAGAAACTACTGTTCAATGTTTTCTGATTCCCAATGGTTGCTTAACTATAATCAGAGCAAATAGTGAAAACTAGAAAATTCTTGATATTATTTACAAACAACACACATTATTCATCAGTATCTGTATTCGATGATAGAGGTTATTTTATTGGTTGAGACTGTTTAACCTTAAAGCATTTTATGTTGACTGCCGATGAGTGATAGTTCAGTAGAAATATCTTAATCCTATAAGAGATCGATGTTACACAGTTGATGTAAAAAGTTTACGGAGAACTACTTTACAGAATAAATGCATGGTTCAGTATTTCAGCATTCCAGTTCTTAAATAAATTTCAGTAAGTTGAGTTGAAAATAACTCTTGAAATTGATTAGTTCCATCAGTTACAGCTACTGCATTAAAGTTTGGTATTAGCTAGTAGGGTAATTCAGGATGCACGTCCAATTCTGTTTAGGACTAACCAGATTCATTTACTTTGATGCTTAGTGTTTATGTTCTCATTAGATCTCAAAGGATAACATATTTAAGTGTGGAGTGAAGGTACTAAGTTCAATTTGCGATTTGAACATCAAATCAGGGATGATGGTTCATTCATCTGAGAAAATTCGAGTTGGATGAAATATACGTTCTTTATCCTAGTGCTAGCTACTATCCAACTATAAATAAAAACATGTGACTAACTGGCAGTATCAAGACCATTCGCAGAAGATGCATAAATGTCAGTAGACACTAATCGACACATAGTTCATAAAATCACCAATGCAAAACTACAGACCCTTACAAGTAACA